ATTCTACAATTTAAATCCCTGAGAAGATAAGCTCCTCAGAGAAATTAAGTTCAGGGAAATGAAGCAGCAAATGACCTGTGATGGTGGTCAGAGCCCTGCCAGCCCTACTTCAGTCCTAACAAGCCCAGTTACTGGCTGGCTTGATTAGTAGCATGCAACCGTTTTAGCCTGCTCCTGGATTTAACAGGAAGTGAACATGGCTGGGAGAGCTGAATCATTAAGCAGTTTTAGTAAAAGATAACTCCTCCGTTCCCAGAGTTCTTGAGATGGAGTAGTTGGAAATAAGTTATTAGAAATAGAGAGCTGTGGCATGTCTTCATTGAATGAGGCAGCCATTTGCATAACCCAGCAGGCCCCTGGGACTTTCCCTGAGGCTTGCTGGTTGGCTTTCTGTAGACAGGCTTTGTGGAAGTCACTTTTCATTTCTCCAAAGCCAAGAAAGAGAAACAGAGAACTCCAGAGAAACCATTTTAAATAAGGACAATACCAGTGCCTTTCCCACCTTCCTTCTGATACCATCACCAAGGCTTCAACACAGGTGCTTTTATCTGCCTCATACAGAATGGAACTCTGAAAATCATTGACCGGAAGAAGAATATTTTCAAATTGGCACAAGGAGAATACATTGCTCCAGAGAAGATAGAAAATGTTTACATCAGAAGCAGACCAGTATTGCAAGTTTTTGTCCATGGGGAGAGCTTACAGGTAACACACCAGTTTCAGAGATGGCGCATGTTGGTTCTCGTAGCCATAGGACATTTGTATAGCTGGGCCCAGATAAGACACCCCAGCTACTACACAACTACATTCTGAATCATAAACATCCATGAAACAATTTGTTGGGATTATGAAAACAGCTATTTCAAGAGGTAGCTTTTATTTCACATGACTTTGGGTTGTTGGGACCCTTTGTGTCCACTCTGAGGAGCTTCTCTGACACAAACTGTCCTCTATACGCCGCACTAAAACCGGTGTTATAGGTGCTGGGAATGGTGAGTTTCAACATGGATTGGCTAGGGGTTCTTTAAGCTTAATGACAACTGCCCTTTGAAGAGTCCAGTCGGGTTAGAATATCTTTGCAGTGAAGTTCTGAGTGGGAGACCGTATGGTGAGGAAAACGGAGTACCAGATTAGTCTGAAGGTCTGCCTATCACAATAACCCATGTTCCTTCCCACAGTCGTTCCTGGTAGGAGTAGTGGTTCCTGACCCAGACTCACTTCCCTCATTTGCAGCCAAGATTGGGGTGAAGGGATCCTTTGAGGAACTGTGCCAAAACCAAGTAAGCATGGCTTAAAATGTTCACCAAGTAAGCATGATTGAGCACAGTGAATGAGCCTTCAAGGCCTGCTGTGGCAGAGGGGAGGCCCTACCATTTGTGGCATCTCTGGATTCTCTGAGCCTCCTCTCTGGAGGGATACTCTTTCTGCTTCTGTGACAGCTAACTGCACCCTAGATGGACTTAGTAGTTTATTAGACTGAAAAATAGAATGGAGGGTTTAAAACACAAAATGCCGTTTTTTGTTTTGTTTTTAAGCAGTAATGTGCTGCTTGAGAGAGAAAATGGAATATAAGAGAATGAAAAATGCCACACAGACAGAACCTGTTAGCCTCTGGGTTTACCTTTCCTTTTCCCTGTCTCCTTTGGTAAATGCAAAGTACATGATATACTTCAACATACTTTTTACTTTTAGGCATTGTAAGTCAGTTCTTGCTCAGCCTTGCATTTAGACCTCTTTTCAGACATACATGCTGTAAGTGATGATTTTCTTTTTAGAGTGTAAAGGAAGCCATTTTACAAGATTTGCAGAAACTTGGGAAAGAAGGTGGCCTGAAATCCTTTGAACAGGTCTGTACTGCTCATGTCACACTGATCCCTCAAGTACCACTAGAGAGTTTTTATTAAAGCTCCCACTTACACTGGTTTCAAACCTTTAACTTCCAACCAACTTATTTTAGATTTACTGAAAAATAGAGGTTTATAGTTATGTATTCTGTCCCCCTTTGCTGTCCATTATTCATTCTTCCCACTCATTTATCCCAATGTCCAGTATAGCCCAGTTGATAGAGCACTTGCCTAGCATGCATGGGTTCAGTCTCCAGTGCTGCATTAACCTGACGTGGTAGAGCATGCTAGCAACCTCACCTGTTCAGGTGGGAGAAGGTGGATCAAGTTCAAGATCAATCTCACCTAGACAGTGAGTCTGAGGTCAGCCTGGACTACAGAAGGCCCTATTGCAGAAGGGACATGGGTCTGTGTCTTTACTTTCATACGGTAAAATAAACTTTGCAGTTTATCGTGGAGTAGCTGGGACACTTTGCAGATGAAATGCCAACAATCAACACGTGCCTATCTTCCAGGTCAAAAGCATCTTTGTCCACCCAGAGCCGTTCTCCATTGAAAATGGGCTTTTGACACCAACCCTGAAAGCCAAAAGAGTGGAGCTCGCCAAATTCTTCCAGACCCAGATCAAGAGCCTCTATGAGAGCATCCAGGAGTAGGTTAAGGTACTCACGGCCGCCCTCCCGGGAGCCCAGGTCTGGATCCAAACTACCCCTCCTCTCGTCTCTTCCTCACACCTGTTGTCTATCTACTGAACCATCAAACTAAGATACTTACAGTGGGAGAGTCCGGCCAAGAATAAAAGCCCATTCTTCCTGGCTTAGACTTTGCTGACGATTTAGGCCTTAGGGCCGCTTATCAACATGCTGTTCTTCCCTGTCACTTCCTCATGGCCATAACCCCAGTGCCATCACTGGTTCTAGGGTCATGGGGATCCTCTAGGTAGGTGCCTTCTGTTTTATAAAAACCCTGCTTGCCAGCAGCTCAGGACTTCCGAAAGTGCTGAGCACTAACAGTGGTCCTCAACCTTCTAATGCTGTGACTCTTTCATACGGTTCCTCATGTTGTGGTCACCTCCAACCATACATTTATTTCATTGCTACTTCATAACTGTAATGCTGCTAGTGTTATGAAATGTAGATATCTGATATGTGACCCCCAAGGAGTCAGGATCCCCGGGTTGAGAACTGCTGCTCTAACAGACCAAGAGGTGTTTAATGTGTGAGTCGTTTTTCAGTCACTCCACAAAACTACTAATTTGAGTTTTAGCCTATCACCCACATTAATCATATTTGAGACAAATTTCTCCATACTTCTGTGTACATCAAAGTTTATGCAATGAAGGAACAATGTAGTATAACAAAGTGTTGCCTGGGCCCCTAGTAAGACTTCTGAGTTGGGGATATTAAACATGGTAGATGGTGTGTCGACAGAGAATGTTGTTCTGAAGTGTTATCTGCAGTGGCAGTTTTTGACACCGTCTGTTCCCTACAGTTTGCTGAGCTGGAAGCTATGGAGGAAGAAGCAGAAACGTATGTCCAGTGAACTTTTCCAGTAAATGAGGCAAGCACTGAGCTACTCTCCCGCACTGCAGGCCCATCTTCTGTGAAGGATCGTCCGGGTCTTTCTCCCTGGACTCCAATTCCTGCAGTATCTTACTGTCAGATGGCACGTGGTGTCTCTACTTGTAAATGTCAAATCTTTGAAATAAACTATTGCAGATGTTGATGTTGTGACTGCTATCGTGTGGATTGTGATGAGAATCAGTGAAAAATCAAGTGGTTCTTAAATTCTGGCTGTATGCTAGAATCACCTGATTTGAAAATAGTAGGATGACTGGGCACTTCTCTGGAGTCCCTGAGTTAAATAGCTTTGTAGCCAGGTGTGGGGACACATACTCACGATGACAACATTCAGGAGGCCAAGGCAGGATTGCTGCAGATCTGAGGCTAGTTTGGGCTACATAATGAGACCCTGTCTCAAAATTAACTCAACATTGTCCAGGATGATTCTAGCGTAGCACAGACTTGGGCGACTGCTGGGGTGAACTGATAGCACTTGTCCTCTTACCCTGCTGCACAGTTCTGGGTGATTAACCCTGAAGGCTGGCTCACGCTCTAAGCGTGCTTACGTTTTCTCCTTTACTACCTTTGTTCTATGGTTCTCTCTCTCCTTTTCTTTTTAGATAGGGTCTCACTATACCCCTGACTGGCCTGGAACTTTCTATGTAGACCAGGCTGGCCTACAACTCAGAGATCCACCAGCCTCTGCCTCTGAAGTGTTGTGCTGTGATTAAAGGTGTGCGCCACTAGGCCTGACTGTTATACTATAATCTTAACTTGTATTCCTTTCTAGCTTCTAACCAGAATTTAGAATATCCATGGTTTTTCTACACCTTGAGCTCAGCAAGGCTGAAACAATGCCCCTGAAACAAAGGGAAGGCAGGACTACCTTCTAGGGCCCTTGCTGGGCTAGAGCCTTCTCAGCTCTGACTTTCTATATGCCCCTTCCTCCAGCTGACCTCAGTGGCTGCCTTGCTGGTCTTCCAACATGCCAGGCACACCACAGTATGTGTTCTTGCCATTTCTGTCTAAAATGGAGACACTTCCACAGGCACATGGCTTGTCTTCTCATCTGCTTTGTCAACTCAAGACCAGCCTGCCTTCAGAAATGATTATAATGACACATGCTTACCTACTGCTCCTGCAATGGAGTAAACACCATGCTTGCTTCACTGCCGAGTCCCCAAGTGCCCATTTCTTACTCTTACCCACTACAAGCCTGGTGATCCCAGAAGCCTTAAGTTCCTGACTGCAAAGAATTAAGGAATGTTCAATTAGTTTACACAAGGGCAGAGTAGCAGGCTTTCCCCTATAATTCTACTTACTCCCTCTTTAACACTTTTACCTTTAGATGCTAGTATTTTCACAGACTTCAGGTTCTGACATTAGACACAGTGTCTAGTGACTTCCACTAGGTGTAAAGCTGTTAAGCCAATCTACTAACAACAGGGCTCACATACTGAACTGAATATGTCATTTCTTAAGACTCATGACTCAAGATGCCAAGTCTGCACATAGTAGCGGGGCAGTGTTTCTATAAGGACGTAAGAGAAACTTTTTTCCTCAGAAAAAAGAAAACACACTTTTGAGTGAAAACTGTAATTTTTACAGAACATCCATTGACCTTTATTGGATTTGACAAAATCTGCATTATTAAAAGTAACAAAATTTGAGTTTATTTTGAATCTGACAAGTTTTATAGTCTCTAGATTATGAAAGAAATGTCGATTGAGGAAGAAACAGAACAACCACATGCAGGCAACCCTGGCCAAGGGGAACTAGATCTGCAGGTGAAGTCAGATGTACAGCACACAGAAACCCTGGAGAAAGTGCAATTTGCTCAGTTGGCTGGAACGACTTCCTTCCTTCAGTAGGAAGAAGTGGAAACACAGCAGGAATTCAAAGGCGTATGCAGAGTGGCTTCTGTTTCAATGGTAATCAAGATATTGAAACCATGGCACTAGAGCATCTTTGAGGAAAAGAATACCTTAAGCAGAATAGGCTTGTTGCATAATTCTTGGGTAATATGTGTGATTTTTCAAGTAATGAAGACTTAATGATTTCACTTTAACAGTGGCTATCTGTTCTTCTTCTCACCCTCTGGGGCTGGATCTGATTCACCATCACAGGGACACTTTTCCACACAGTTTCTAGGGAACCACCCTCTTATTCTTGAAGTACCTAAGGGAGAAAGTTATGCTATGGTGAAGCAGGCAGGACTAGGTGACATTACTGAGAGCAAGTTCTACTACTTCAAATGAAGATAAGCTTAGTTAGACATCCTGCTGTCCCTCATTAGTTCTCAGACACAGGTCAGGGAAAGCATGGTTTCCAAATGCTTCTACCAAGCTAGGAAACAGACTCCCCAAATCCCATTAACTGGGAAAGTTGCTGGTGTGGCTTAGAGAGTGCATAACTGAACTGGGGTCATCAATATATGGGTGATTGTTCTGTCACACCATTACATTGTGTTCTAAGGATGACCTTTCCACAGCCTTTATGCATTTTCTTCTTTTTCTTTCTTTTTTGGGAGTTTTGCTATGTAGTTCAGGATAGACCTGAACCTATGATCCTCCTGAATATTGGGATTACCGGCATGTACTCCCAGCATATCAATTTCTATACCAAAATCACCTAAGCTGTCATATAGGGTTAACTTATGATTAATCCGAAGTATTTTCTTTAAGAAGATCTTAGGTTAATCTTTACTTTAAAAAGAAATAATTCAGGAAAACACACTCAATTTCAACCTTCGCTTTAAAAGGAGTGCTCCCTGAAAGGGGCTGCAGAGATGGCACAGGGGATCTGGGACCTGACTCTTCAGGTTTGGTTTGCGGGGTGGGCTGTGAGCAAGCTGCCTTTGCTAAGTCTCTGGGCTTCACTTCTCTCACGGATAACTAAAGGACAGCTCCTGCCTAAGATGTCCATCAGGATTTAGTTACTTTTTAAAATTAGCACACAAAGTAATGAGTTTCTTCACAGCAACTTTATAGACTATTTTTAATGGTTCTTTTCTTCCATCCACCTCCATCATCTTCCTCCTAATTACTCCTGCTGGTTCCCTTCCTAATAATAACCCTTTCGTCTCATATCACACACATCTGTATCCAATCACCTTTTAAAAATTGTTTTCAGGGGCTGGAGATGGCTCAGCAGTTAAGAGCACTGGCTGCTCTTCCAGAGGACCTGGGTTCAATTCCCAGCACCCACATGGCAGCTCACAACTGTCTGTAACTCCAGTTCTAGAGGACCTGATACCCTTACATACACATACATGCAGACACAGCACCAATGTACACAAAAAATAAATTATTAAAAAACTGGCCGGGCGGTGGTGGTGCACGCCTTTAATCCCAGCACTCGGGAGGCAGAGCCAGGCGGATCTCTGTGAGTTCGAGGCCAGCCTGGGCTACTAAGTGAGTTCCAGGAAAAGGTGCAAAGCTACACAGAGAAACCCTGTCTCGAAAAACCAAAAAAACAAAACAAAACAAAACAAAAAACAAAAACTGTTTGCCCATTTCTAGTTTAAACATAACCCAACCCACCCTCTAGAATCTACATATGCAAAAAAAGTTGTAGTTACTTGTCTGAGTTTGGCTTATTTTACTTGACATGATGAATTTCATTTGCATCTATTTCTTGGAAATGGCATTGCACATTTTGAATAAAATTTGACTGTGTGTATATGCTGCATTTTCTCTATCCATCATCTGTCAGCGAACATGTCAGCTGGTTCTGTTCCTTAGCTACTGTGAATGATTCAGCAATAAACATGGGTGCAAGTGTCTATGTGGCAGGACCTGAGAGTCATTTAAGTATATACTGCAGATGGGCACACCTCAGTAATATGGCAGTTCCATTTCTAGTTTTTTTAGAAACCTCTACGCTGACTTTCCAGGGGGCTGTAGCTCTACACTCGCAACAGCAGTGACTAAGGGTTCCTGGTCTCCACACTTTCCCCAGATTTGTTGGGAAATTGTTGGCAGTTGCTTACTTTCAGGGCTTGAGATACACCATTCCAAACACGCTTGACTTTTACGGTTACTGAGAAGAGGTCTGGTTATTCCACCGGTTTGCCTTTGCCATTCCCCTTACAGCTGTTTTTCTTTGCTTTGCGTTTTTGACATCTTTCTTGGGTTCTTCTCTGGCCATGACTCTTTAGTCTGCATGTCTACATGCATCTTGTGCCCATTTTTTCCTCGTAGTTTGTGAAACTTTCTAATTTCATTGACTAAACTGCTTATGAAATTAGACTATCTCCTTCAAGCCTGTGATTCTTAGGTTTAGTTTCTTGACTGTATCTCAGAGTTTTTGGAAGCTTTTGCCTTGCTGTTTTGTTTCATATAGAGAGTGTGTTGCTGTCTCACGTCATCTGTCTCTAACAGCTGTCCTTCTGCCTGGTCTTTGCTATGCTTCCTTTCTAGGGCTCTGTTTGTTGGGGTGTGTGTGTGTGTTTGATTGGATCTTTCTTTGTCGGTGTCCCTGCACTTTGCCCGACTAGCCCTCTGGTAACTTTCCTGTCTAGCTTCTGAGTTATTCCTTTATTGCCTTCATCTCCTCTGTTGAGTCTTCATGAGGTCAGTGATCCTTCAAGGAAGCAGAACTCTGAAATCTTGGCCAGGAGTTCAGCTTTCTCTTAGTTTGGGGTTCTGGTACTGAGAAGCTGCAAGCTTGGGCAGGTGTCCTAGTGGCTGTGGTCTGATGTCTCAACATTTTATCTGTGTTTGTGCACCTGTTGGGACTAAGGCATCCTCTGGTGTTTACTTTGCCTTTGCCTTCGGGAGGTCTACCGGTTAGGGTCTGCACTCAGTAACAGCTGTAAAGACGGCAGTGCTGGCAGGGATCTGCATTGGGAAGGCACAGGCTGACTTTTTTTTTTTCCCCTGGTTTTCCAAGGCAGGGTTTCTCCGTGTAGCTTTGGCGCCTGTCCTGGAACTCACTCTGTAGCCCAGGCTGGCCTCAATCTCACAGAGATCCGCCTGCCTCTGCCTCCCAAGTGCTGGGATTAAAGGCGTGCGCTACCACCGCCCAGCAACATGCTGACTTTAATTGTGTCCCTGATGGGGCCTGAGTCAGCAGCACTGGGGTTTTTAGATTAAGAGTGCCAGAAAGTAGGGAAATGAACAGGGAATGGAAGGGAGGGAGTGAAGGGGTAGAATAGGAATGAGATGGAAGTGCTTGCTCTAGAGGTCACTGAGAAGTGGGTGCACAGAAAGAAGCACCATAAAATCCTATTCAGGCAAGACACAGCTGGCAGACACACAGAACAACAAAGCACAGAAGCAGAAATAAAACAATAAAGTAAGCAGAATGAAACAGGGCATTCCGGCCTTGGCCAGCACTTCCTCCTAGCTGTCTTTTATAGCAGTCTATGCAGGTAGGGGCAGGGCTGTTAGTCTCAGACTTTCAAACAAATTCAGTCAGTGTTTTCTTCCTGCTGAGAGGCATTTCTGTGGGAAAGCTCACTTCCTGCTGGAATTCCAAGGTCTGAGACAACTCCCCTCCAAACCTCATCAATTACAACTCTGGTTTTTGGAACTTGTTCTTTCCAAGTGCAAGGCTTTCTGTGATGAGGCTCTGAGCAAGTGTGGAGCTCTTTGTCTTGACATGCCTGCCAGAAGACATGTGGCTCACAACAGAGTGGCAGGAATACGCTCCTTATTCAGTAGCTCTGGGTGCCAACCAAGAATCGCAGCTTCAAGTTCATGTGCCAGACTTCTGTCTCCACAGCCTGCCACATACTGGCTATCTCTCCACAGACCTGAGTTACATGTCCACAGCCTGGACAGTCTCCCTCCAGCTCATTCCTCTCATAACACCCATGCCCAGGAGGGGGCAGCACCTTCATGGAAGCTGTTGGTTGGGCCCACCATGAACAGCATGATGCAATAAGTTGCTGGCTTGGCTGCTTTGCAGAGAAGACCCAACCTCTTTGGCTTAATCTTTCTCCAGCTGTGACTCTTTTCACTGGGTCATGCCCAGGTGTCTTCTAATCTGCTCTATTACCCATAGGTGCCTACTGGGGACTTTGTAAGTATCTGCCACATAATCATGTAAGGACTTGGATGGTAGCTATTATCATAAGGACCTAATAGACATAAGTACTGGAGAGAGATCTGTAAGAAGCATCCTTGTACATAAACACAGTTCCCTAATGTGCTTTACATATAATTACACATAAAAGTTATTCTTACAGAATTTGGAATTATTGCTAACCGTCACATACTTTAAGTATATCCTTCTATTTCCATACCTTCTATGAAGGAATCATCGAGAATTTTGTCTCCATACAACCAGTATCTGAAATATTTAAAAGATTAAATTACTTTTGAAGTTCATGTCATGTTTCCTATTAAAGAAATGCAACATTCCCATCTCTTACCTTAATCCTCTTGTTGCTAAAATGAGTTCCCCTTTCTGCAGCTGTATCCGAGGCTCCTCTGTGCAGGGGCTTGTGAAGAAGGTTTTAATTCCTCTATTCAAAGGACAACAGGCACCACTATAATCTTCTATGACTTTATAGCGAACCTGCCATCAGTGGTCAGAAGAACAATCTCAATATTTACCATATCTGAGTTCTTTCGTGCTTAAATAAGAAATTTTAAGGTCAGATTCAAACTATTCAGTGATAAAACATCTTTCCCACCATTTCCCATTTCCCATAAGGGAATGATGATCCTTGTTCTCAAGTTGTCGGATCCATCATTTTAAGTACACATCTGCTAAGAATATGATCTCCAGAGTGCTGTGTCCAGGAGAACTTCCTGCAATGAAGAAAGTGTCTGCATGTCTCTGCCTGTGGTCTTGAATGGGTTGCTAGGTAGAGACTCGCAGCTACAGAGTGCTCAGTGTGGCCAGTACAAACAGGAACTTAATTTTTACTGTTATTTATTTTTACTTTGGACTTCCTTTGGCCCACAGGTGGCATCATCTTTACCAGTAGGTCAGTGTGCTTGCGAAGTGGTTTCATCAGCTGCACTAAAGGTATTTTTCTAGGTCGGCAATACACAATGCCTAAATGCTTTGGAAACCTCCAGTTCAAATAAAGTATTTTAAAGAAAACAAAAGCCAACAGTATGTGCTGGGCATGGTACCACATGCCTTTGATCCCAGCTCTCTGGAGGCAGAGGAAGGTGGATCTCTGGCTTTAAGACTAGTCAGGGATATATAGTGAGACTATCTTAAAAAAAGTGGGGGGGGGGGTTGTATCAAATTTCAACAAATATAAGGAAATATGGATCCCTGGAGCCCACGTGGTGGGAGGAGACTCCCATAAGAATCTGTGCTGCCCACGCATGGACAATAAACACAATAAAAGGAAATATTGTTGGCCAACAGCCAACTGTTTCCAGACCCACAGAAACACAGTGCCTGACTGGAGAGAACACGAATCAGCTGCAAAGAAGTCACTTACACTTCGGACTCTCTTGTCTGCTTTTTGTTTCAACTGTTCTCTCTGTTTGAAAGGCAGAAAAGGAAAAGGTTAGGTACTCTGTCTCAGTGTTGAACAGCCTCTCCCCTTCCACCAGCATGTCCCAGTTGCTGGTGTTTGGTATTTGTTGAGCCACAGTCTGGAATGGAGCCCTCTGCTCAGACTCTGCTCCCTGGAGTCTTCACCTCTGCACACTCCTGAGTGCTCGCAAGGCACCAGAACTGGGAGGGACAGTCTCTGTTCCCACAAAGCTTCTAGGCTGCCTTACTGATTTCCTAAGAGACAAACGAGAAGACTCATTATTAATGAGTCTCGACTAAGCAACTCTCGCTACTTGCCCCTTTAGTCAGCAACTACTAGACAGAGCTGTATTAGAACAGCCAGGGAAGCCACGTTAAAGACAAGAGGAAAACTTCATGAGCTACACACAAGAATGTGGCATGTGGCTAGTGTCCAGTAAGGTTGGAACTAGCCTGGGTAAGCTAGACTGCCAAGAGGGACGGGCCTGGACCAGGCCTTGGAAGGAACAACTGAGGGGCAGTTGAGAGCTGGGGAGGAACAAGGCACTCATGTCGCAACGCAGGACAGAAGGTAGTTCAAGGCCAGACCTGTATAAATCAGGATTAAAAAATCAGACTTTATGGCAGTCTGGAGTGTTCAGGAGAGAGTTGAAGGCCATGATACTAAGAATCTCTACAGATGTTAGTGTTGCAGGAGAACTGTTTATACAACCAATCTCCTGTACCAATAAAGCCACCTTAAATCAAAGGGTGAAGTCAGCAATTGGTTGACCGGGATTAGCCATAGAGTTCTTGGAGGACTTAGGAGGTCTGCTAGATGGACAGGAAGAGAAGAGAGAGGATTTCCTGGGCTGGTGGATCAGGAAAATGTGGAAAGAGGGTCAGCCAAATGACTCTCCACTTTCCTTAGATTTATCAGGTCTTTATCTCAATTTCTGACTCCCGAGTTTTTATCATACTGGACTGATTTAGGTAATCGTTTCATATTAGGCTCATTCTGACATATTGAAAACACACGCACTACTATGTGACTATGATGTTTCAGTAAGTTGAGGGAGTTAACAAAGTAACCGCCAGGAAAGAGGAAGGCTTTTTGAACAAAACTACTTACTGTTAGGCTATACTGGTCACAGCCTTCTCTTACTGGCCACTCCAGTCCATCTCCTTCAGGGACTCCTGACCATGTAAATACCTGTTTAAAGTTCTTCCATTTACTTCCCATGTCATAAGGAAAAACAAAGACTTCATCTAGTTGGTAATACTGAATGCGATCTTTAGCCTGTGGAAAAGAAAGGTGTAAATCACCACTGCTTCTGCCTGCATGGGCTTTGGTAATATGTTACTGAGAATACTCACTTGTGAAATTTGTATTACTCATAAAAATACTTTCTTATTGCTAGAATATAGGTAGTATTGACAAAGAATATAATTTTGTCACAGTATAGAGGGGATTTGACTGAGAATACTAACCTTGTTTGTGATACCCAAGAAAGCACATGACAAGGTGTGTCTTAGGAACAAGCATTCAAAAGGCTTATGAATAACAGAATTAGCTAACTGTATCCTATGCAGAAAACCCTCAATGCTTCTGGTTGCTTAGTAGCACAAGACAGTACAGGCAAAAAGAAATCTCCTGTTAATAGACTCAGGAGAAAGTGTGGGTTATGGACAGCCAATGGCCAGGAAGGGTTAATAGGGAGGCACTATTTTACACAAAACAGTTTGCAATGATGGTGAAGGAGATTTCATGGTTTTATATCTGTTGGAGCCCAACTAGGTTTCCTAGTGGCTGTACTTAGAAGGACTGCACAAGAGTTGATTGGACCACGGGCCAGAGTATCAGGTGTTAGTTCAGGGCTACACTTGGCTTTGTTCTATACTTGACCTTTGCCCCTCCCCTGGGTATTGTTATAAACAGCCCTTTGGAATAAAGCTCTGGCCCGATGGATCAGGACCCAGGCCCTCCTGAGGCTATCCTGTATTTCCTATTTGTTTCTCTCCCCTCTATCCTTCTATCTACTATTTTCTGCTGCTTCTACTCAAGAGTACTCTGGGGAAATGTGGGGGTGTGATGGCCCCTCACATATACCATGACATACACATACACTTTATCTTCATTTACACATGCATATTCTGATGGCACAGCTCATTTAGGCATTTAAATGGCTAGCTTTCTCTTGGAATAAAGTAGCTTTGAATTTGTTAAATTCTACTGCCACCTAGTGGTACAAACATGCATTATTTAAAGCAAGTGTGGCCCCTGTGCAAACACATTCAACATTAGTGTCCGGTAATCTTAATATGTTTTTGATGATCTATTTCCTTATATGAAGGTTTGTCTGTGATAAAGTGTCAGCTTTAATAATTTCTAGATTAACATAAAAATATAGGGCCACAATCATTAGCAAAATAAAACAAACAAAAACCCTCCTCATCAACATATTTATTATGCTTACCAGAAATGATATTATGAAATATGTGTTCATTAAGGGACAGCATGTTATGCAAAAGTTTCTTGTAGTTATTTATAATGTAATATGGGTGCTAGCTATTTATTGAAACAATTGTCAAACTATGATATGAATTTACTGACTTTTATAAATCCACCTTCACCTGAGTAAAGGGCAATTCCTTTCCCTGTTTTTATAAACGGAAGCTTCAGGTGTTTGTAGTACAGCTCAGTGCTAAATCATTTGCCTTGCCAAATGACAATACCAGATTCTTTAAAATGGACCAAATTTAAAAACCCAAAATACTTTAAAAAAAAAAAAAGGTAAGGATACTATACACTAAAAGGAAACATAGACACATGGTGTTCTTAGGGGGGAAAGGCAGCAAATAGTACTTAGGCAAGCTTAGAGAGTAAAGGAAGACTTCTTGGAAGAAATGATACCTAAACTATATCATGAGGGGCAGAAAATCAGGTAAAAAAAGAGGGAAGAGTATTTTAGGCAGAGGAAAGAAACATGGGAAAGATCTAGAAGTATAAGACATACAAGCTATGAGAATGAGATGGGGCAGTGGGTAGGAAAAGAGGTTGGAGAAGCGAATAAGAGGACACTGTGAACAGTCACATAATGCGTATAAGCTATGGAGGCTGAACTCAAACTGTCCACGGCGGTCCAAAGCCTTCCTCAGGGTGCAGGAAGGACAAACTTCTCTTTTCACTTTCCTGACATTTGTAATGGTGGGTAAAACTGCCAGGAACTTAGAAGAGAGTGGCACAACCCTGTGTCAGTTATCACATTGTCAGCAAACGGACTCAACCTCTGTGCTCAGTCTATAATCCTGGATTCAACCAATCATGGACGGGGAGGAACAAAACTGCCCACCTGAGGCAGGCACGAGGGTGCAGACCTTTGACCCCAGAACTCTGGACTAGAGTGAGACCACATCTCAAAAATGCAAACACGCCGGGCGGTGGTGGCGCACGCCTTTAATCCCAGCACTCGGGAGGCAGAGCCAGGCGGATCTCTGTGAGTTCGAGGCCAGCCTGGGCTACCAAGTGAGTCCCAGGAAAGGCGCAAAGCTACACAGAGAAACCCTGTCTCGAAAAACAAAAAAAAAAAAAAAAAAAAAATGCAAACACATCAAAATAAATATTGCACATGCACAGAACATGTACACATCTTTTTCTCGTCTTCTTCCCTAAACAATGAGTCTAACTAACTATTCAGTGCATTAGGCAGGGTCTCCAGAGGAGCAGAACTTGAGTGTTTGGCGCCTATGTTTGCAAAGGTAAAGTCAGACTAGCACCACGGCAGGTAGACAACTGTAGGCATCTGCAGCCAGATGAAGAAAATTCAGGCTTCCAAGTGAAAAGGAGAATTTTTGGGAAACCTGTTTTCCCTGCTATGATTCTGACAGCTTTCCCATATTTAAAGGTATTTCTATTTCTAATATAAAAGTTTTATGTTACATATAAATAATTAAATGTGAATAGTGTGAATTTTACTATAAAAGAGGACACAAAGGTCCCTGACGAGAGCTGTTCCCTGCTGGCCTGGGGTGCGGCTCAGCGGCGGACTGCTTGCTAAGCCTACATGAGGTTCTGAGTTTCAGCCACAGCACCGGGATGTGTGGCAGGCAAGTACTCGTCAAGCTTCAATGTAAAAATCACAGAATATCTATTAGAGTCTAAAGTGTCCACCAAATACTCCAATCTTTTCTACCTACTTATCTGTAGGAAGCTGGGCTTTCTTCATAAACGTCAACCAAAGTAATGTCTCAACAGATTGAATGCAGATGTAGGTGTGAGATTCCAACTGTCTGTTAAGTCAGATATTAAAGAGATTTGTAAGTCTTTAAAACAAGGCCACCTTTTCTATTTTTAGTTGTCACATATAATTATTTTTTACAAAATGTTGTATTAACAGAATGGATTGTCTTTAAATTTGTTTATGAATTATTTCACTTAGAAAATACGGCAATTATCAGTGAGCACAGCACACACACACACAAGCTCTTTGGTGAACCTGGCAATCTGGGACCAGAAATGACTGAGACCATAGGGTTTGGGAACTGCTGCTGAAGTTAAAGTCCACGGGTTGCATGCCAGGGCCTAGGCATGTTCTATAATGCTGGTGTTTCACTACAGTGCTGTTTTGTCCATCCAAACGCTAACCATACCTGCCCTGCTTAGCTTCTGAGAACAGAGGAGATCAGAAGAGTTCTGACAAGCCGAATGTTGCAGGCCCGAGTTAAAGTCTCATGTTTTTGGTACTTTCCCAAATGGGTTGTCTCTCTTTCTGCCTGAGAGATATCAGTAGCTCAGGGGTGTTAAGAAAGTATCCCTGTGGGAGTTCATTGAGGTAGAAAGAGGTCTACGCTCTCTATGCTCACCTTTCATGTGGCATGCCAATGACCCAAGTTTTCACATCCCAGCGCCCACTAAATTAGTATTCAGTACTTTAGACTGAAGAAACAATTATTAAAATTTACCTTCTCTTCAATCCATGATTCAATAGAAGTTTTGTTTCTGAGAATAATTTTTATCTGGAAAGGAAATGTCAGTGAAATTTGAGAAGGTAGCTTTGGTTTACTTCAGATCATTATCATTGTAATAATTCCAAGACAGCTTTTATTGTCCTACCCCAGAGATAAAGACACCAAAGATGGCAGAGTAAAGTTAAGTAGCCGTTAGCATGCAGCTCACCTGACTTTAAAGTACTTCTTAATTAATGTACTATGGCATCTCTATGCCAAACTCATCATGACCATCCAAAGCAACCTACCCATTTCCCTCATGTTATGGTTTGAATGAGAAGCATCCTCCACAGGCTCATCTGGAATGCTTGGTCCCAAGGTGGCAGCACTAATTTAGGAGGTTCTGCAAACTAGTTGTGGGCTAGCTGGATGATGTAGCCACTGGAGATGTGTCGTCTGGTGACTGAATCTTTACTGGTTCCCTCCCACAATCCACTTCATTTCTTGTCCACCATGCTGGGGACAGCTTCCTCCTCTCCAGGCTCCTTGCTACGATGTTCTGTCTCACTGTGGGCCAGAGGCGACTTTCAAAGCCAATGATAGGAGCCTGTATTTCTAAACGTGAGCTGAAGTAAACCCTCCTCCTTAGTTTTGTCAAGTCTGCCTCAGTGACACAAAAGGAACTGACACAGCTACGCCTGCCTGCCTGCCCTGGTTTCCTTGCTATGATGAAGTCCATGCAAGATGCTACAGCGAGGTCTTAATTTGTTTTTAATTATGATTCTTAATTTATAAGCATTAGGGAAAAAATCCAATCTCTGTGCATTTCCTCAGAAACCTCTTTATTTTCATTAATAATTATGTTTACTAAACACACGAATGGGTAACCATGGGTGAATCATTTAACCTTTTTGACAATCACTCATTTATTTGTACGGAAGCCAAGTCAGTACCATTCTTCTGTTGACCTCTCCTGGGGTGATGTGAAGATCCTAACTGACTGTAGGGTGAGAACAGCTTTCTCAACCACAAAGGTTTCTACCAGTGGATATTTTCACATCACAAGAATTGGTGGCTGGATATTCTGGCAAAATTACTTCAAAATTATCTACTGTACATAGGCGATTAAGTAATTATCTACAGATAAACAAAAGTTCCTCTCACATGCTGAAACTTTACACGCAGGTTTATCTCTTTCTTACTGCAATCAGCCCCAACAACATGGCAGCTTTGAGACAGGTGACTAAGAACTTTACCTGTATGAAAAACAACATCCCAACAGCGATGGTGGTCCCCAGTGCTAATCCCAAGGCAAACAAGGTGGCAGCAAATGCAGCCAATCCGAAGGGAACAATGGGAAGAGGATCTCTCCGAGCTGCACTCATGTCAATCTTGACTGTGTTCCACCCAAAGGAGAGCTGCAGGCAATAACAACGCACATGTGAAATGCTTGTGGAGTAATTGCTGTGGACTTACAGCACAATCAGGGCAGGAGACGGCTCGGCAGGTAATAAGCTTGCTGTGTAAGTCTGAAGAGAGCTTAGACCCCAGCATCCACACAGAGGTGCCACCGGCACCTCCTATACATCCAGTGTTTGGAAGGCCAACACAGGGGATCCCCAGGGAAAGTTGGCTAGCCACACTGTCTTACCTCAACCTCTAAGTTCAATTGAGAGAGCCCACCTCAATGAACAAAGTGGAAAGCCATCAAGAAAGACACCTGGCATCAGCTTTGGACTTTTATGTACATGCACCCCCACAGGACCCTACACATGTGAACATGCATGCACACAGGTACACTACCCATGGGAAAAAAATAACATCAACAATAAAACCCCAACACGACCAAAAAGATAACAATAATGACATGTTGCCAAGCCAACTGCAGCAAACAGCAGCTTCTGCTGAACACAGTATCTTTTTTTTCTTTAAGTGTAAGGAATCAAAGCCAGGGCCTCACACATGCTGGGCAAGAGCTCTAGCACTGAACTGTATACACCCACAGCTCCACCATTAGTCATTCTTCAGTATTAGTTTGTGATGCTTCCTCAGAAGAGTGAGACTGACCCCACAAACGTGAATAGTTATGAATAAGGAAACACTTATGCTTCCACTGTCTCCATGCTACTCTCACATGACAGTATTCTTCCACAGCAGCAGGTACAGCATATGCCATAACCAGTGGTCAAATAAAATGTTGGATAAACAGATCTTGCAGATGTGTAGTGCCTGGCCTGTACAATGTTCTAAAACAGTGGCTCTCAACACGTGTGTCTCAAACCCCTTTGGGATTGCATATCAGATATCCTACATATGAAATATTTACATTATAATACACAACAGTAGCAAAATTACAGTTATGAAGTAGCCACGAAACAATTTTATGGTTGAGGGTCACTACAACATAAAGTTAGGTGCTGACATTTAAAAATCTGGAGAGCTCATATGAAAATTCCAACGCTTTAATACTAGAAGGTCAGCGCTGCTGGGCTGGGACTGACTGCAAACCACAAACTGGCTGAAATCACACATGGACTGTCCTCTCTGTGGAGGACATGGACTCTCCAGTTTGCTATGCACCTATGGCCTGTGTCCCTCCTTTACTTCCAAGCCTATTGAGGGAATTTTTTATTTGGACAACCTCTGAACTTTCTCTCGTGGTTAAATGTCCAAGTCAACTCAAACTGTTCCTGGTTTAATGTGTTTATTTTAGGAGTGTGCTTGCTCCATGATCAAACGCACAAAGGAGTATCAATCTGTTACAGGAACTGAACACAACAGAAAGGAAAGTACAGTGTCTTTTTCTTCTAGTTCTTTCAGCCCACCATCCTCACCACAACCACTAAGTTAGAAATGTAATGAACCATAGATAAGGGAAAACAATAAGCATAACTTCAACTGGAGCATGAAAGGTGAGCTTCCAGAATAAAACCACCTTTCCTCATTTCCAAGATGAAGAGCTCTTTCAAAGGAAGAACCAATGTAGACAGCAGCAAAGCTGATGCACTAGCTAAATCACAAAATGGGTATTTCCAAAAGGGACCTCACCAATAACCATGGTACCATCACTGAGGAATGGCAGTGTATCACCATGTCCACTCACCCGATTATAAAGCTGTGTGTACATAGTCATCACAAAAATAAAAGCAGCATGGATGCAGCCCAGAGGCACTAGCAGGAGGAACAGTGTGAACGAAGCATGGTTCTGGTGACCACAGCAGTTGTTGATCCAGGGACAGTGGTGGTCCATCTTCATTATACATCTGATAAGAAAAATGTTTTGAAGCATAAAGCAGAAAATCCTGTGCTCTTTAGCTCTGGTTTTAAAAGACCAAGCAAATAGAAATCCAGTATGTGCAGGAATCACAGGGCATTAACTACATAAAACAGATAAATCTTTTTGGTTTTTTGAAGTTATAGTGCTGTGGGATGTCTTTCTGTATGCTGTGAATATATGTGACTCCCATTGGCTAATAAATAAAGCTGCATGGGCCTATGGCAGGGCAGGATGGAGCCAGGTGGGAAAATTCAAGAGAGTGAAAGGAGAAAAGGAGAGTAAGGGGAGACAGGAGACGCCAAACCGCCATCCAAGGAGCAACATGTAATGGGACACAGGTAAAGCCGTGGAACACATGGAGATACATAGATTAATAGTTATGGGTTGAGTTAAGTTATAAGAGCAAGAAGCCTGAGACATAGGTCATATAATTTGCAATTAGTATTAAGCCTCTGAGTGATTATTTTATAAATGGCTGTGGGACCACAGGACTGGGTGTGACCAGAGAAACTTATGGCTACATTATAGTGACTTCTTTAAAATTCTAAACAGCACAAGAGCAAGCAGATATTATAATAGCTTCTAAAGTAAACATGTCTAAGGCGGATCTCCGAGTTCGAGGCCAGCCTGGTCTACAATGTGAGTTCCAGGACAGCCAGGGCTACTCGGAGAAACCCTGTCTTGAAAAACCACCCACACCAACAACACATTTCTTACAGAAGCTGGGAGGCTCCAAAAGAGTCTCAGTACAAAGAGGAAGCTGGCTGTCATTCTTAAGCTCAGAAATGCCATGTCATGACTGATGTTCACACAGGACTCTAGAGAATGAGTATAAAGCTCCCCAAACACAGCTGCACTTCCTTCCTTTCTCACAGTATGTGGTAGACTTGGAACTTCTGGCCTAAAACAACCTTAGCACAATAAGATGACAGAGCTTGTGTTCTGTCTCTTTGCTAAAGGAAAACTTCCTAGCAACAAACCAGATTTTAGTCGTATCTCATGACTTCCTAAATTTCATATTCATCAACAGATGTTGCTGAGAGCCAGGTCCTGGCATATTTTGCATTTTTATAGTGATTCAGTTTTCTTCCCATTAAATTTTTGATAACACATATGAATGAATCTGAGAAAACCAGTCTAATTCAGACTCGGAATAATTCTGAAGCTAGTCAACATGCAATTAGTGAATGCAACTAATTCTGATACAGCAAATGAGAAAAACTAAAAGAAAAACTTTTACTTTGCTAATCATAGGATGAGAAGCAAAGGTATATCTATTTTTCTAGAAAAATCTTTTCCTTATAACAACAAAAGAATGAAATTATCTTCATTGACATTTAACTGCAAAGGAGTCTTAGAGACGCAAGTATTTTGATAATATTTTTGACTAAATGGATTCCTTGCTGGTTTGTTTTTGTTAACTTGTCCCAAACCTGCACATACCTGGGAAGAGGAGTTCTCAGTGAGGAATGCCTCCACCAGACTCAACTGTGGGAATTATCTATGCGTCATTTTCTTGGTTGCTGAATGATATGGAAGGGCTCAGTCCACTGTGGTAGTGTCACCCCTAGGTAGGTGGGCCTGACCTGTCTAAAAATGGTAGCTGAGTAAGCCAAGAAGAGCAAGCCAGTAGGCAGCATCCCTCAGTTGCTGGTTCAAGCTCCTGCCTTAATGATGGACTGTAACCTGTAAGCCAAACAAACCCTTTCCTCCCCCAAACGCTCTTGGTCAGAGTTTACCACAACAATAGAGAAGTAAAGTAGGAGAACTGCAGAGAACAGAAATGGGTTCTATTGCCACGACAGGAGATGAACAAAAGCGTAGAGACCGAGTGGATCAGCCCCCGTACAGAGGAAAGTCACAGACCTGTTACACTTCCTGCAATGGTGTGAGCGAGGTGCCTTGTATGCTTGGCAGACTTTACAATACTGGAGATACATGCTATCCTGAGGATTTTCCTTGATTAAAAAAAAAGGCATGTTAGTCACTTGATCCTAAACAGTAACAAGTCAGGCTTTATAGATGAAGTTTCCTACAGTGGTATTAATTTCTTTTACGGATGATGGGGGAAAAGGGTCCTTAGCTTGCATTTTCAAAGCCTGTATTTATGCTAAAATACTTCTAAGTGATAAAACTGTGAGAACGGCCTCCTTCTGCAGATTATTCAGGGGTCCTTTTTATTTTCTTTTCTCCACACTCAACCCAAATCTAGTGTCAGTTGGTTTGACTCACCCAAATCTTAGCAGTTGTTTTAGACAACTTGACTAGTATTTCAGAGTGAAGTGTGAGTTGACACTTTCTGGATACTGTCTTGCCATCTCTCCTCCTTGGTGTCACTGCAGTAACTCGCTACCTGGTTGTTTCCCTCATCCAAATCTATGTATTTCACAATAATGTCCCACCCAGCTCTCTGCCAGCGCCTCGCCTGAAACCTCCACACAATCCTGGGGTACAAGCAGCTCCCACACATTCTGACCCACTTGACTTTGTTTTACCCTTATCTGCACTACACAGTTTTGTTTTGTTTTTTTCTTCAGTCACACAAGGCTGTCCATTTTCTGGATATGTGTTCCCACCTGTTCTCAGCCTGAGGCACCACCCTCTTCTCTTTCTTCTCTGGAAACTTGCTATTTTGACCAGGTGTGGCAGCTCACAAGATGACATGCCTCTGCCTCCCCAGTGCAGAGATTAAAGGCGCGGACTACCACACACAGCCTCTTTTTTTTGTTTTTTTTTTTTTTAAAAAAAAACAAAGAACAAATAAGTACTCAATTGCTTTGAAATAGCTAATGCAGATCAATATTTCAAATAGATATCAATTCTAAGCACAAGTGATCATCACTGACTGCAGTAGCCCACCCAGTGTCTCCTAGGACAAAAGTTGACAAGGCAAAAACAAAATGTAATTATCATGGCAAATTAAACATAAAATTATGCAATGATCACTGTCAAAATGGATTGTTTTCTTACCGGTTTCCACCCCCGAGGGACAAAGCCAGGACCAGCAAACATGGCATTGAAGTAATTGTAAAGAATCATGACAGTCCAATTTATCAACATGATGAAATTCACACTTCCTCCAGTTGTGTGTAAGGGCCAATACCACAAGACAGAGTCAATCATGGCCATTGTGGAGCATATTGCTATAACACCAAGGGCTATTATGGGACCCCAGTGACACAGTCTCTTTAGTTCTTGAAGATTTTCAAACTTGATCACTGAGCAGAATGTGCCCATTTTGGATGCCTTCTTTCTTCTAAAGAACTAGAGATTCTCTTTTTCTGTGCACACATTTCTATGCGCAACAAGTCCGTGTGTTCCTGAACTGTCATGCCTTTGGCTGACAGAGTATTAACTTGGAGTTTGGCATTTTCACTGTTGACATCCAGAACTCTTTATCTCAAGGAGAATCTAGGTTGGTTTGAAACTCAACCTAAAGAAAACAAAATGGGAAAATTCCGTTTAAAATTCCACATGCCATTTATTTAATTCCAAGAGGCACTGAAATGGCACCCCAAAAGCACTCTAGTGTGAGGCTCACATCTTATCAATCCAAAATACAGTCAGCCAAGCTTGAACTGCATGTAAACCGGACACATTAAACACGTTTTACTCCTTTGTTCAAACTGGCAGGAAGGATTGACTAGCCCATGCTCAGTGGATCCTTTGAGAGAACAAAGACTTAAGAGAGCTAAGAAGTAAGGTCTTATCTAATTATCACTTATCTAATTCTTCCTACAACAGAAACTGGCTTAGAGAGGCTGAGTGATTAGGCCAAGGTCACAAATAACAGCAGAGCCCAGAATAGAAGCCACGGCACCAAATTTCTTTTAGGAAGTTCTAAACTGCCTCTCAGAGTTGTGAATTAAGTGTAGCATGCTCTACGCATATAGTACTTCGTGTATTAATAACCCGCAGTTGTTTCCGCAAGCGCCAATATTAACAATCGATCGGGGTTCAAGGTACACGAACAAGGGTGAAAGCAAAGCGAAGAAACGGCGCGCGTGCGCGTGTGTGAAAAATCACGACTGAAGCAATGCACGAGAATGAGCACAAATAAGGTTAAGGAAAAATTAACTCCCTCCGGGGGCGAGGGCGGGAAGAAGGAAGAAGACGGAATAGTTGGCGGAGAGAGTTCTCAATGGAGTGGAATGAATCCGGGAAAGACCTGCGATTTATGGGTATGACATGCGCGCAACGGATTCCCACTCAGCTGTTGCGCCTGCGGGTGCCTCTGTTTCCCGCCCGTGCCGTGGTGCAGGACGGTCTGGGGTCGCCACTCACGAGACAAATGTCTTATTAAGTAAGGTTGGGCTCAACATTTTGGAGATCCTGGCCCGACTAGGTCGGGACGAAGACCACCCTACACGCGGGTTGAACCCTCTGCGGTGACTTCCACCTGTCTGGTCTCCCGTGCCTGCTCCACGGCCATCGCATTTCCGGGACGGACTGGGTTCACCCGCGACAGATTTTCTCCTCCTTATAGCTCCGTCATGAGCACTTCAGTCCTGAGCAAGCCGAATGCGAGCCCTGAAGGAGAGGAGTGCGCAACCAGCTCCGACCCGCGCGTCTTTGGCTCACACGGCCGCCGTGCGGCTGCCGCGCAGGCCCTTGGCGCAAGCTCCGCCACAGCCACTTCCGGCAGGTCCGCGGCGTCAATCTTCCCTCCGAAAGCAGGCGCCTGCAACGACTCACAGGTTGGGGAAACTCCAGCCGTTTCCCTGAATGTAGAGTGTGGGGAAGTGTTTTCGGTGACCCGACAGCATGCAGGTTTTTATAGTTCTCTAGGGGACACTGAAAGTGAAGTTTTCCCTTAGTATTACTCTCGAAGACTGCGTGGAAAAGAAAAGGCGCAGGCAGCCCAGTTTCCGGAGGACAAGGACTGCGAAGGACAACCAGGAAGCGGCTGGGCTGGGAGTTGTCCCGGGTTCCCACTGTGCTGTGGAGGCTTCTTCCCAGGGTCCCTGCGCCGAGGGCCGGCGCCCTTCGTGAGTCCTGCTCTGAGCTAGACCTCGGCTCCGGCCGCCCGTTTCCGAGCTGCCATGTCTTCCGACTTCGAAGGCTACGAACAGGACTTCGCAGTGCTCAGTGCTGAAATCACCAGCAAGATTTCCAGGGTCCCTCGACTTCCTCCCGGTGAGTACCTTGCCCGGCCGGGTGGGGGCGACCTGGAGAGCCGGGAGCTGCGGACCGTCACCTGGGCAAGTCGGTCTCCTGGACCCGAGGCTGGTGTGGGCGGTGCTGGCGTCCCTGGGATGTCTTGACTTAGACTCCAAAAGTGCTTCAAATGCAAAGAGCTTCCTGCATGGTTACCATTTGGGGGTGGAGTTGAATTCTTACCCCATGTCTTTTAAAGCTTGTTTAACCTTGGAAACATTGCTCTACAATGGTACAGGGTAATTTTGCTCATTTCTAAAATCCTCCCTTCCTTTCTGCGCCTAAACTAGAGTGAGCTTAAAAGTCTCTTGATGAAAACCTGCATTTGAAAAAAAGTCTGCTCAGGGCTGTGGGATGTGGAAGTGGAAATGGTTTTGAATCAGGGTATCAAGAAGGAGGGGAATAGAGGGAGGGGAGTAACAGTGATGGAGGAAAGCAGATGTCTTTTAGAATCTTTTCTTCCTTTATGTCCTTGTCCCCCTCTCCCACCTGTTTTCGGTTACTAGGGACATTTGCTTGAAGCCAGGACCTCTGAACCTAACACCCCACTCATCTCCCGAAGTCCCAGTTAGTTCTGAAGGAGGTGGATGATGGCTTAAAGAGGTTAGAGTTCAAGTAAGGGAGCAAGAGGAGAGAACCAAGGTAGCATATACTGCGGAGCTGTGTTGCCTCAGAGATTTTTGGTGGACAGAGGAAGGCCTCCTGCCTTCATGATACTTCACCTCGCTGTTCTCTTCAACCCCACTTTTCTCCACTGCCCAAGATCATCTGATTTTGTTGTCACTGTTGTCTGAGACTTCTGCCTTTGAGTTGAGTCCCAGAGCCTCAGAGCACCAGGACTTGTAGCTGCCCTTGGATTTTGCTCATTTTGTATTTTAATGTGCTTTTTGTTTGTTTACTTTTAGCAGTAGAAATATTTCTTGGGCAAATAGCTTTAGTATTGAAAAACTGTTTAACAAAGTAATATCATCCAGGGTACAGAGCTGTGAAGACTCCTAAGAAAATAGGTTTTGTTACAATTGAATTTTCTTGCCTTTGTGTTTAAAATCCTTACCACATAGAAGGAAACAGTTGAATTAAGTGTCTTAAAAAATAAAGATACTGTTCTGCCTCTTCTTATGTGTAGTGTAACGTGAGGCCCAAACACAGCAACCATATTCATTGGAAAGGAAATTGTATTGCTGGCACTGTGGGAAAAAATGTGTACTTGAATAATTAAATAGCTCTTTAAAATACAGTGGTTTTCCTCTTAATAACGACTTGTGTTTGCTGCCTTTTTAATCTGCTCCTAATTGAGAGAAAAAGGATATTTTTTCATGAGTTTATGAACTAACAAGAACTAATAATTTAACCATAGTAAAAGCAGCAGAGGAACATGCTGTTTTTTATTTTTAATTAATATTTTTAAATTAATATTATAATTACTAGTCATTATACTACCCCACAGCATCAGAGTGATTGTGTCACTCACCTGAAATAGACCAGAAGATGAGCTATAATTTACTTGAATTAAGATAAAAAAAAATTGGAGCAAACTTTAAAGTCAAAGTAGCTCATTCCCCCTAATAATTATTTATTTAGGTTGGAGTACCCAGAATCTGTGGAAATGAACTACTCTATATTGTGCATGTATACATATTAAGGTGACTTCCAAATAGAATAGAAAAAAAATTCTGAAAATTTAAAAAGAAACTTGATTACTTTGTGATGCTTTATCAATAAAAAAAAAACTTTGCTCTTTGAAGTGTTTGAATCTTAACTAATTTTAATAGATGTGATTTTTAGATGGTTGAGTCCCTTAATGAATACTCTTGTGATTACTGAATTTAAAGTTTGATTGATTTTTAATGATTATTGTTTTGTTCAAAAGTTAGGAAAATCAATGAGCTGGGACCATAACTCACTTAATTTCAAATCCTGATTTTGTGGTGTTGGGAGTGAATTCCTTAGCAGAAGAGCACTCCACTGGGGCCGGGCTTCCATTACAGTGGGCAGATGGGAGGACCCTCGCCAGAATTTCATTTGTAACACAACCCCTTGAGCCGACCCCGGAGCCCGCTGTGTGTGCTGTGCACATGCGTGCACTTGCCTCCCACTGGATGGTGGTTTGGCATCTCCCCTTACTCTCCTTTTTCCTTTTATTGTCTCTCTTGGATTTTTTTTGCCTGGCTCCATCCTGCCCTGCCATAGGCCAATGCAGTTTTATAAATCAACCAATGAGAGCAACACATATTCACAGCATACAGAAAGACATCCCGCAGCAGGCTGAGGTGGTGTTTGACAGGCTTTCTTAATGTAAATTGTGCCACAACTCTCCTCACTACTTGGAAGGAATAGAATGTTCTAGAAAATTGACTGGCTTCTTTGAGTATGTACTTCCCCAACCCCAGTTTGAGCAAGGGGTTGAGCCACTTAAGATGAGTCCAGCTGTTGACTGGAAGGTAGAGTCGTATAAGAAAGCAGCCTTTCTTTGTCCTGCTGGAAGATGGGAGTCTGAGAGGAGTGGGTGTTCTAGCTGAAAAGAAAAGGGTGCTGAGCAGAAAACTGAAAGTGGTCAACATGAAGTGTAGGTGGGGTCTGTAAATGAATTTGATGACCTACTAGAGAAAGGGGCTGAGGTTATGGCTTGTTATAGTATCTAAGTAAACCATTGAGATTCAGCACCGCACAGTTTAAAAGTCATTCACTGGGACACACACACACACACACACGCACACGCACACGCACGTACATGTGTATTTTAAAACTCCATTTAGAAAATACAGGCCAGATTTTAGAAAGAAATTATTTATTGTCCAGGTTCCCCAACCAGTGAGTAAGACAGTGGGTTTGGGTTTGGAGTCAGAAGTTAAGACTAAATATCTATTTCTTCTATGATACTTTACTCTTTTTTTAAAAAAGTTTTTAAAATTTTGTTTTATGTATATAAATGTTTGCCTGCATGTGTGTGCACCACATGCATGCAGTGCTGGAGTTCCCCTGAAGCTGGAGTTGTAGACAGTTGTAGCCATCATGTAGGTTCTAGGAACTGACCCCTAGTCCCTGCAGGAGCACCAGTGCTTGGAACTGCTGAGCCCTCTTTCTCCAGCCTCATACCTTATTCTTAACACTGTTGAAAGTATATAGTAGTAAAGACTTACAAGACCTTGCCTGGTTTGTGCAAGTGTTTTTATGTATGAGTTTTAAATTATAGTCACAAAACAGTGATTCCAATTTATTACAGTGGTGACTTAGCAAGCTTCTCAGGTCACCACTGGATCTGCTATTCTTGGCATAATCTCCACCAGGGAAAAAGTCTTCTTTGTAAATATATGACCTCTTAAAACTTTGGCCCTTTGTTGGATTATGTATCTCCACATACTGCAAAGTCAATATTCAGTATGGTTTGTAAGCTACTGAAGAATGATTTTTTAAAAAGATTGATTTATTTATGTACTTTATGTGTATGGGTGTTTTGCCTGATGTATATTTCCATACCAGAAGAAGGCATCATATCCTGGGAGACTACAGTTATAGATGGTTGTGAGCCATCATGTGGGTGTTGGGAATTGAACTGAGGTCCTCTGGAAGAGCAACCAGTGCTCTTAACTGCTGAGCCATCTCTCCAGCCCCCACAGAATGATCTGCTGACTTTACATTTTTTTGATGTGGTTGATCAGAAAGGAGAAGGGTATATTAAAATACGAGGCTTTAGAGCAGTGATTCTTAACATGTGGGGCGTGACCCCTTAGTGGGGTCACATGACCCTTTCAGAGGGGTCACCTAAGACGATTGGAAAATATAGCTGTTTGCATTACAATTCATAATAGTAACAAAATCACAGTTATGAAGTAGCAGTGAAAATAATAATATGGTTGTGGGTCCCCACAACATGAGGAACTGTATTAAAGGGTTGCAGCATTAGGAAGGTTGAGAACACTGCATATTCAGTTTATGTCGTATAATCATCATTTCTTTGATATCGCTTGTTTTAGATGAGAAGAAGCAAATGGTTGCCAACGTGGAGAAACAGCTTGAAGAGGCCAGAGAACTGGTGCGTAGCCTTAGGGGTGTACTGAACACAACCCCTTGAACCGACCCCAGAGCCCGCTGTGTGTGCTGTGCACATGCGTGCACTTGCCTCCCACTTCCCAGTTCATCCCTTTTCAGAGTCAAGGAGATTTAGTAGCATCTAGAGATCTTACTCTTTTTAATAACGTGGCTGATTAAATGTCAACCTCTAATTTATATTCCTTCAGAATACACCTCCTAAGAACCACTCTCTTAGTACATGATCTTAGTAGCTAATGTTTGGTAAAGGCACACCACACACTAGGGGAAGTGCATTGTGTTATAATCTTTAACTCTCTCAAACCCCCTGTGGGATAACTTGTCTTTCAAAACTGATGAAAGTCTAAGATTGCCACCAACTTGGAAGCTGAAGAAGTTCGCCAGTCCCTATGGATGTCCACAGAAGTTGTGAGATTTCTTGTGTGTGTGTGTGTGTGTGTGTGTGTGTGTGTGTGTGTGTGTGTGTGTACATGTGTACATGCATATGTGTGCACATAAGTACATATTGGTGTGGAGGCCCGAAGTTGACATCAGGTGTCTTGTTCAATTTCTCTCCACCTTCTGTTTTGAGGGAAGGTCTCTCCCTAGACCCCAGGCTCACTGACTCACCTAGAATGGCTGTCCATCGAGCTCCAGAGATCCCGAGTCTCCTTTCCAAGGACTGAAATTGCAGGCATGCGTCTCGCCACAGCCAGCTTTTATGTGGTTGTGTGATCAGAACTCAGATCCTCCTACTTGTGTGGCAAGCACTTTGCTGACTGAGCCGTTTGCTGCAGCTCCCAGGACAGGAGGCTCCCGAGTGAGACGCTGAAGCTCCTGTTACAACAGAAGCAGCTGCCAGGGTGTCAGTGTGGTGCTTTAGTTCCCTGAGCCCCAGTGTCCACCGAGGAGATGCAAACACTTGCTTCCAGCGGGAACACAAAGCCGGGGCAGTAAGCCACGTACAGCTGGAAGCAAGCCTGCTCTTTGTCCCAGCGAGTCGTAGTTCATTCTTCGGTTGCTCTGTGTGAACAGACCTTGAGATATGATGTGGACAGACTTGTTAGAAAATCACATTCATGCACAGAGAACCCTGTAGGAGCATCAGAAAATCATGGCAGAGTGATGTTTAGTATGTTGCCACCACCATTATAGATGAGGACCAAGGCTTAGAAAAAGGCAGGAAATGTGGGGCCTGAGGTCCCACACTCTCCTGGGTGCTCTATAGGCCTTGTGCTTGGGTGTCTTATACCTTGAGCCCTGGCTCATACACTGCCTTTTCATGACGATAAATCCAAGGGAGCAAAAGAGGGAAACGTATTTTGTTCCAGTTGTGGGTGTTGAAAGCCAAGTGTTGTAGGAACTGTTGGATAGATAGTTGCTGTGTATCATGGGCCGAGTGAGTGGGTGGCTTGTCTGAGTGCTGAGGTCACCATTTGGTGTTCCTTCCGTACCTGTACTGGTAGACTGAGGGCAGTTTTCTGAAGGATTTCCATTAACTGCTGTTATTTACTCATAACTTTTGCAACACTACCTTAGGTGTGGCTAGGGGTTCAGGCTTCTTGAATATTGTTTTTCTTCAGAACCTCCTTGGACCCTTAGGTAGTTCAAGGGCATTTTGAATCTCTGGGAAGGCAGAGACTTCTCTAGAGGGCAGCCGAAGAGCCTGACATTTGGATAATACTTGGTGGTGGAGCCATGTACCAGAGGCAGCAGATTTGGGGGTTTCAAGGAGGAAGTTGTCCCCCATTGCACAGCATTCTTTTCCTGGGGTCGACATGACTGGGACCTACAGAGCTGCTCCTCAGTTTTCACTGTCTCTTGTTCTCCTTGTGGTCAGAATGGCTAACTGTCTCTGTGCCGTATGACTTGTAGGTGCTGCAGGCTGCTACCATAGTCTCCATCTCCGTTTCTACAGCTTCTAATGCCTCTCTTTCTTTATCCTTTTCTCCTTCCTTCTCTTTTCTTTTCTTTTCTTTTTTTGGTGTCAGATCCCCTGGAACTAGAATTACAGACAGCTGTGAGCTGCCATGTGGGTGCTGGGAATTGAACCCAGGACCTCTGGAAGAGCAGCCAGTGCTCTTAACCACTGAGCCATCTCTCCAGCCCCCTTCTCTTTCGTTTTATATTAGCTGTTTCTTTCAGTTTCTTGCCTTTCATATGAAGATACTGACTTTAGATGCAAAGCATCCAATCAGTACACTTCTTCCTTCTGGTTAGTGGGATGACTATAAATGATACAACCGGTCAGTTGTATGGGGGTCTTGATATATTTTTCCTCTTCAGAACTACTATTTGTATTTCTTTACTCTCTGGAGACATTTTGTTTGCTTGATAATGAGAAAAAGCTGGTCTCTTTAGGATTGAGGTTCTACCATAACTAAGCCCTCATGGAGCTTGCAATACTTTATTATTAGTAATATAAAGATTTGAGTCTAAAATAAACATTTTTGTTTGTTCAAAATGTTCAGAAAGTTGAATTATTTAGTTTTAATGATATCTTAGATTATATGTTGTTCTTTTGATGAGGAAGCTGACAGAAAAGCTTGATTTTGATTTGACTGCTAGGATGGTTGTAGTAGTCTGTGGACACTGTACTTACTGGACTTACCATGTGTTCTACTCTTCAGTGGCTACATGAGTGTCGTGAAAACAGAATGAGTATATGTGGTCCTTATTCTTGATTCTAATAAGACATATTTTACTTTACAAGAAATAAATACTTACAGAGGTCTACACTCTCCAGTCTTACGTGCTGAGTAAGACTGGAGTCCAAGTAGAGTGATATGATGAGAAAGAACTGAAAAGAATACAGCCAGGGAAGGAAGAGGCCAAATTGTCACCCTTTCAAGATGACATGGTCCTATTTGAAAGATCCTAAAGACTTCTCTAGACAGTGCTTAGATCTAGTGTGCACTCGCAGCCAAGCAGTCGGATACAACATTACTGTGCAAAAGTCAGTCAATAATGAATGAACTTATCAAGAAAGAGATCAAGAAAAAAAATTCCCATTTACAGTTCTTCAAAAAAGAAAAGAAATAAGAACAAAACTACCAAGGAAATGAGACCTCAGTAATATAAACTTTATGACACTAAAGATGTTGAAAAAGAGAACCAGGAGATGACAAACCTTTCCATGCTTACAGATTGGCAAAATTAATATTATGAAAATGGCTATATTTTTGCAGATTATCTACATGTTTAGTTTACTCTCCATCAAAACCCCAGTGCCATTCTTCATAAAGCTAGAAAAAGCAATGCAGAATTCATATGGAAGCGCAAAGGATCCCACGTAGCCAAAGTGATCCTCAGCATAAACACCAGTGCGTGGAGCACCATGAAACCTGATCGCAAGTGATACTACAGAGCCATGGTAACTAAGGAGTATGGGGACTGGCACAGAAACAGCTGTGGAGACCACTGGAATGGAACCCAGAAACAAACTCACATAACTACGCCACCTGTTTTGTTTTACATAGGTATCAGAAACACCCATTGCAGAATAGGCAGCCTTTACAGCAAATAGTGCTGTGAAGACTGCATCCCACGTGTAGAAGAGTGAAAGTAGATGCTTCCCTCTCATCCTACACAAAAATCAGTTGAAAAGGAACCAAAGAACTTTGTGTAAAGCTTGAAACTGCTACGGCAAGCGCATTTATCTTTATTTATGTGTATGTGAGCACATACATGTTTGTGGGTGCTCACAGAGGCCAGAAGATGGTGTCAGATCACCTGAAGCTGGACTCACAAGAGGCTGCAAAGTTACGTGGCAGAGAGTCCAGCAATCAAACTCATGTCCTTGGCAAGGCAGCCAGTAAGCTCACCTTGAGCCATCTCTCCAGCTGTGAAAAACACTGTAAGATACAGGCCGAAGCAAGACCTTTCCTAAGGACTCTAACAGAATATAGCTCCAAAGACTGACAGATAAGATTACAGGAAAGTGAAAAACTTCACAAAGCAAAGGAGATAATTACCAAAGTGAAGAGACAACCTACGGGTCGGGAGAAAAATCTTGGCCAGCTATACTTCAGGTGTGTCGGGGGGAGGCTTAGTGTGTAGGAAATGTAAAGAACTGTAAAAACTAGGCACAAGAAAACAGATCTTCCAGTCAAAGAAACAGGCTGGTAGAAAGTGTTTCACAATCTTCCCATCAGGGAAATGCAAGCTAAAGCCCTAGAGGTCCCGTTTTTCTGTCAGTAGCTCACATCCAAGGGTGAGGACCCGGGGAGTGGCAGATGCTGGAATCTCAAGAAGAGGCAGGAGGAGCAGAAGTTTAGAGGTCATCTCCTCGGGTATACAGTAAGTTCAAGGCTAGCCTGGGCTATATTAGACACTGTCTCAAAAAAAATTAAAAAAGCAAACCAAACCAAAAGGTAACCAGTATGGCAAGGATGTTGGAGAAAGGAACGTGTTCACTGTTGCCGTGAATGAAGACTACAGAGGAGTATGGAAATCAATACGGAGGGTTCTTAAAACTCTCCAAGTGGAAATGCCAAATGACACAGGTATGCCACTGTTGTGTATATCCAAGGGACTTCTATGTCCTGCCAGAGATACTTACATACCCACATGTCCACAGTAGATAAGACATGGAAGCTACCTGAATGTCCACTGACTGACGAATGGATAAAGAAATGTGATGCATACATAATGGAATTATATTCTCCTGTAAAGATGGAATCATGACATTTGCAGGAAAGTGGATGGGACTGGAAACTTAAGTAGAAGAAGCCAGACTCAGAAAAACAGAGACTTTTTGTTTTTGCTACACAGATCCTAGATGGAGAGAGAAGGTGTGTGTGTGTTGGGGGGTGGGGGTGGGGGCGACAATAAACTAGGAAGGTGACGGTGAGCAGTGGAGAGTTCTTAAGGGAAGGAGAGAGAAAAAAGGGTGATTGAATGCATGTGACATGAGAGAAGAGGAGAAAAATGGAGGAGGAAGCTGAGCAGCCAGAGGGAGACAAGGGGTGGGGACAAATGACAGCAAAGTGTTTGGAAATGCCTCAGTAAACCCACTACTTCGTATGCTAACCTCAAAAACTAAAACGCAAAGGCAGAAACAGTGATGCCGTCAGAGACTTCAGTGCCTTGATAGTGATGATTTCATTTCTTGCCACACAAGCCTGGGGACCCAAGTTTGGAAACCTAGCAGTCATGTAAACAACTGGGCTAGGTTGTGTATGTCTAAACCTGGCACTGGGAGGTCAGGGAAGGGAGATAGGCAGATCCTTGGAGCTGGCCAGCTATTCTAGCCAACTGGTGAGCTGCTGTGGGATGGTCTGTATGTCAAGTGTGTTGCTGATTGGTCAATAAATCACTGATTGGTCAGTGGCCAGGCAGGAAGTATAGGCGGGACAAGGAGGAGAATAAAGCTGGGAAGTGGAAGGCTGAGACAGAGAGACACTGCCAGCCTCCACGATGAGAAACAGCATGTGAAGATGCCGGTAAGCCACGAGCCATGTGGCAAGGTATAGATTAATAGAAATGGATTAATTTAAGCTGTAAGAACAGTTGGCAAGAAGCCTGCCACGGCCATACAGTTTGTAACCAATATAAGTCTCTGTGTTTACTTGGTTGGGTCTGAGGGGCTGTGGGGCTGGCAGGTGAGAGAGATTTGTCCTGACTGTGGGCCAGGCAGGAAAACTCTAGCTACAGTGAGTAATGGGTTTAGTGAGAGACTCTAGCTACTTTTTAGGAAATTTAGCAAAAGAAATATAAAGCATAATGTTAAAATGATTAATGACAGTGGAAAAGAAATCCTGCTTTTGGTTATACATTGATAGAATGAAAAGCAGTCTCAAAGTGGTCTCACCTACATTCATAGCATTTTTATAAGAGCAGCTAACATGCCACTGATGGGTAAACTGACACACTAAATGTCTCCTTAGGAAGGGATATTAGGCCTTCACATTTATGATGAGCTATCTCAGTTACTTACACGATCACTGTTTGAAAAGAGCTAATTAAAAGTATCTCCTTTTCTTATAAAAGTACATATCTTAATTACAATTTCCTGTTTGGTCCATCTGTATTCTACTATAGTTATTCAGTCTTCACCAGTAGACGCTAGGTGATAAGCTTGTGTTGGCCATGATGTGTTGGAATGCTCTCAGAGGCAAAAACATCTTTTTTTTTTTTTTTTTTTTGCTATCTTTTTCTGTGGATGTTATTGCCATAGTCTGGGCCAATTTGCTCTTGTTCCTGGTCTTTCCTCTTTTAGGGGCATGTACAAATTAGCTTCCTCTGCTGCCTTGTAGAGTGCTTGCTCTATTTCTTTGTAACTATTACTATAGTTACTGTCAACCTAGTGATACAGTGCTTTAAGCACATTATAGGGATTACTCATTTAATTTTCATGACTGTCCTAGGAAAGAGATTATTCTTAGAGGTGAGGAAAGATGAGGCAGAGGGTCATTAAGACCTCCGTTGAGGCCCCCATGACTGGTGAGTAGTAGCCTGCAGTGTGAACATTGTCTCACTGCGAAGCCTGGACTCTGAACCGTTATTGCATGTCTCTCTCAGCACCTATTAAACTCTCAAGTGCTGTATCCAAAGTGTTACAGGGTGACAGATGCTAAAGCATGCCCTGCTGTGATTTCAGTGAGCAAGGTGCAACTAACATATTGCCGTATCCATTAGTGCCTCATCAGTGTGGTTTTAACGTGTAAGAGTTAGGCTGGCGGCCGAGGTCACATGTTGGTTGTATGTGATTTTCCTAATTAGGAAAGACTTTCTCAGAGGAATTTCCTTATATGACCAAGCCAGGCTGCTGCTTCACAGGTGAGCCACGGGAAACAATCTCCCATCTTTCTGGAGAGTCACAGTGAGAAGACCAGATCAGGTTGCACCGAACAACGGGCTGATCCAAGGAGGACAAGTTCATGAGAGTGTTTTAATTAACGCACAATTCTCAACAAAGCAAGCAGACAAGTTCATGAGAGTGTTTTAATTAACGCACAGTTCTCAACAAAGCAAGCAGCTTAGCAGCCGCTGCCATTCTCTCTGCTTCCTGAGCCAATCAGGATGCAAGCACTAAAGCATTTCCAGTGTTACTTGATCGTCATCAGCCAGCACCGTAGTTCTGCTTCCTCAGCTGCAAATCCAGGACTTAGAATCTAATTCTTTTAGCGTTAACCATTTGGGCGAATAAAGAATATGCATGTGGCCCGAACTGACCTACTCTGGTGATGGGATGGCCAAACACCCTAATTGTCGTGCTAGAAACCCCATCCAACGTCTGAGGGATCTGGATGCAGAGATCCATGACTAGGCCCCGGGTGGATCTCTGGGAGTCCAATTAGCGAGAATGAGGAGGGTTTATATGAGCGAGAATTGTTGAGACCAAGGTTGGATAAAGCACAGGGACAAATAGCCAAACGAATGGAAACACATAAACTATGAACCAATGGCTGAGGGGTCACCAACTGGATCAGGCCCTCTGAATGGGTGAGACAGTTGATTGGCTTGATCTGTTTGGGAGGCATCCAGGCAGTGGGACCGGGTCCTATGCTCATTGCATGAGTTGGCTGTTTGAAACCTGGGGCCTATGCAGGATCGCTTGGCTCGGCCTCAGAGGAGGGGACTGGACCTGCCTGGACTGAGTCTACCAGGTTGATCTCAGTCCTCGGGGGAGGCTTTGCCCTGGAGGAGGTGGGACTGGGGGGTGGGCTGGGGGAAAAGTGAGGGGGGCCTGAGGGGGGAGAATGGGGGAATCCGTGGCTGATATGTAGAACTGAATTGTATTGCAAAATAAAAATAAAAAAAAAAAAAGAATATGCATGTGATTCACTTTTTTCTCTCCCCACTTCAGCTTGAACAGATGGATTTGGAAGTCCGAGAAATTCCACCCCAAAGTCGAGGAATGTACAGCAACAGAATGAGAAGCTACAAGCAAGAAATGGGAAAGCTGGAAACAGATTTTGTGAGTTTGGTTCCCCCCTCTGCTCTCTTCAGAGTGTGAAGCTGGCACTTGTGCTTCATTTCTTTGCTGTTTCCTCCCCAGGCCTTAGTCAGCATTAAATACACAGTCTCAGAGCTCCTGCAAAAGATGAACACAGGTTTGTTTAGGAAGATGACAGGAATTAGAGGTGGCAAATGATGGGAGTTGGAGGACATGGCTCTCAGCTAGATCCAAGATGCTCAGTCCTTGAGTCAGCATAGTACTTACTAGTATTTAGCATTGGTTACAATTCTTTTCTAGTTCATGGGGCTGAGTAGATGGCTCAGGGGGTCAGCTGCCACACAAGCATGAGGACCGAGTTTGGAAACCCAGCAGTCATGTAAACAACTGGGCAAGGTGGTGCGTGTCAGCCTTCTGAATATGCTACAGCATAGCAGGTCCTTGAGGACCCGAGGCAAAAGGAAAGAAGTCACGCCCAGAAGACAGATGAGGTGTCCATCCTCTTGTACAAAGTTTCCAGAATGGTCAGACCCAGAAACAGAAAGTAGAACCGTACTTGCTGGGACGGGGCAAGGAGAATGGAGAGCTGCTGGACGTGTAGACTTTGCATTCTATAAGAAGTGGGTTCAACAGCTCCGTACTGTGAATTTGTCTAGCCTCGGTTTGCTAGGCACCTAGAAGGACCTAGAGTAGTACATTCTATGTCATTTGGATTTCACCACAACTTTAGGACTCAGAGAAATACACTGATAAAATACTGTGAATGATAAAGAGATAAAGTAGTATATGCAATGGTAACAATTGTTCTGTATAGATGGGCATAGCAAACTAGGATTTCAATAAACAAATTAAATTTCATACTCTTCACATTTAAAGTAAAAGAACATGCAGGTGAGGAAAGAATTGTCCCTTACCTGTGAGTGACACAGTTACGTTTTGTCACACAAATCTGCTGTGTTTGTGAATCTGGGTAAAGAATTTATAAGGATCCTTCTGTGTCTGGCTCCCCCTTAGTTTTTTATTTGGAAAGTACACTTCTAGACTGCATTATACCTTCCTACCAGTGGCAGTGGGATTCAGGGAAATGCTTCTGAGCTCGGAAGCATTCTGACTTACATCTCAGTGGGAAATTCCCTGAGAAGGAAGAAGGCTGCATTAGTCACTGTGTTAGTCAGCTATGGTGAGGGACGGTGAGAGGCTGCTGAGAGCTGAGAGGTGGCAGGTGAGGAGGAAAGGCAGATTTGGCTCCAAGTGGCAGAGGACTCCATCTGTGGCTATTAGAACATCGTGCTGAAGCAAAACAGTTCTTTGTGGTGGCCGGGTCAAAGAGAGAAAGGAAGTAGCCACTGTCCCCGTCCCCATCCAGGACATCCCGCACTGCCAGACTTCCTCACAGGCCCCATTTCCTAAAGACTCCGCCTTCCAGTCGGGCCCTGACAGACAGCCTACTAAGCCTTAATGTGTGAGCTTTGGGAGGGACATTGAAGTTCCAAACCATAAGTCACTCTGATAGAAATGCCACTGTGTTCCTATTTTTAAAAAAGGCACACGCTGGGTGGTGGTGATGGTGGTGGTAGCGTGGGGGTCTATGATGGTTCCAAATGTCATTGTTTAGTTCCTGTGTTCCACTGGGTCAAATCTTCTCCAACTGCTCTTTGAGAGGCTGACTTCTCTTGCAGAAGAAATTTGGGATAGGAAGAAAATGACACTGATTTGATAATTTGTGTCCTATATAGTGCATTAAAAAACAGAACTTGTCAACTCCAATTTATACTTAGAAAATTCTGGCCTGGCTTTTAATCCCAGCACTCAGGAGGCAGAGCCAGGCAGATCTCTGTGAGTTCAAGGCCAGCCTGGTCTACAGAGCAAGATCCAGGACAGGCACCAAAACAACACAGAGAAACCCTGTCTCGAAAAAACAAAAACAAAAACAAAAAAGAAAATTCTAAGATTACTGTCCAGTGATAAGTAACGATAACAGTAAAATATCTGTAGGGATTATTCTTAATTCGCTTATCTCATTTTTATGGAATACTTTTGCAGAAATTTTTTTTCTTTTGAGTGCTTCCCCCAACACCCCTAAAACCCAGCAACAAATGTATCATTTAGGAGAGCTGTCTTAACAGAAGGCCACAGTCTGGAGGCCAGAAAAGGTGACCCCATTGCAAGGCTTCTCTCCTGTCTGTGGATGGCTTCTTCTTGTCCTTACAACATCTCCTTGCACATACTAGTGACCCCATTGGAATTTAATCTCCTCTTAGAAGACCAGTTCTCTGAAGTACCTCTACATGCTGTGTAATGGGAACTAGGGCTTCGGCATGTAAACTTGGAGATACAGCTCAACCCAGAATCCCGACTTTCATTTCAACCTTTTCATGTTAGATGTTAAATTACCCAGAACCCCGACTTTCATTTCAATGTTTTCATGTTAGACGCTCTTACCCAGAACCCCGACTTTCAATGTTTTCATGTTAGACACTAAATTACCCAGAACCCTGCGCTTCATTTCAGTGTTTTCATGTTAGACACTAAGTTACCCAGAACCCCGACTTTCATTTCAGTGTTTTCGTGTTAGACACTAAATTACCCAGAACCCTGAGTTTCATTTCAGTGTTTTCATGTTAGATGCTAGATTACCTCACTTCCATAGCTTCCACATCACCTAACCCAGTGTTTAATCTACTTGTTTCCCCAAGGAGATTAATTTTGGGTAGACTCCTTTACTTTAGGTATTTAGAAGTTATATTTTTGGATGAGTGTTCCTTTCTCTGTTATATTTTCTACTATGAAGAAAAATGGAACCAACAACCGTGAACTTAAATGTCATTTCCTATGACGTCACTAAGTAATCATGTTTACGTATGTAAATACTCACTGTTTCAGCTTGCTTCTCTTGTCTGGAAACATTCACCAGTGCTTTTTATTCATGTATTTACTTACCTTTTTTTTTTTTTTTTTTTTATTTTGAGGGAAGGGTTGGTCTCACTATGTACCTCTGGCTAGCCTAGAACTTACTATATAGAACAGGCTAGCCTTGAGCTCACAGAGCTGCTCCTGCCTCTGCCTCCCAAGTGCTGGGATTAAAGGTGTGCTCTACCATGCCTAGTATTAAAACACTTTTTAAAAATGTGCACTAGTAGTTTGCTTTCATGTATGTCTGTGCACCACTTGCATGCCTGGGATCAGCAGAGGAAGAAGAGGGTGTTGGATCCCCTAGAACTGGAGTTACAGACAGTAGTGAGCCACCATGTGGTGTTGGGAACCTGGGTCCTCTGGAAGAGCAGCCAGTACTCTTAACCACTGAGCCGAGCCCCTAGCCAATCCTTTTTTATTTTTAAGATTAAATATGTTCTAATTGCATATTAATAGGGTTCACCGGAGCATTTCCATGCATGCATATACCCACTGTATAGATCAAGTCTGCCCCCTCTCTGCCCATGACTACTGTTCCCCACACTACCACTTTTTTTTTTTTTTTTTATACCTAAAAAGCCCCTCTTAATTTCTTTTGCCTCCCTTTGCCCTTTCCTGACTCTGGTGACCACTGTTCTACTTGTGTTTCTATGGATTGACATCTGTTTCCATAAGTGAGTGAGGACATGTGACATTTGTCTTTCTGCTCATCTCCCACTGATAGCTCATAGTGATTGGCTGTAGACGAATTTCTAACCGGTCTTATTAAATAAGGAACACTGACCCAAATATAGGGGTGGAAGCCTTAGAGATCAGGGAAATAATGATAGCCACCAACCTTACCTCTCCAGCTCTGCAGCTACCAAAAGGGGGGCTACTTCCTGTCTAACCTGCACCTTTATTACTTTGTTGTTCTGCCCTCTCATTGGCTCTTAGCCCAGCTACCTCACTTTCCTTGCCACTGCCTGTCTGTACAGACCTCCAGGTCTCTATGGTTGGTACTGGGATTAAAGGCGTGTGTCATCACACTTGGCTGTTCCCTAGTGTGTCCTTGAACACATAGAGACCCTGCATGCCAAGTGATTGAATTAAGGGCGTGTGCTACCACTGCCTGACCTGTGTTAATGGCTTGCTATGACCTCTGATCTCCAGGCAAACTTTATTTATTAACATACAAATAAAATACCACCACATTTCAGCACAAATAAAATATCACCACAATTGGCAGTTTGTAAAGTTCTTTAACATACAGTCTTTCATCTCACGTTATGGTCTCTAGACAGAATGGTTGTGGATTACTGGTTTCAACATACAACCATAGAATCAAGGAGGCTCAGATGGATTACAGGTGTTCATCAAGTCTTCTTTAGCCCTACTGTATGCTAGGCCCTGTCCTAAGTTCTGGAATACAGCCTGAATTTGGATCAGCATAATGGTGTTGTTTTTGTGGAGTTGAAACTCTAATATGGACCTTGGAGGGGACTCCTGAGAAGATGAAAGTGCAGGTGTGTCATGTTGCTCTTGGAATTTATGTTGTCAGTATTGGTGTGAGCTTCCCTAGGGCTTGAAAAACAAGATGTGTGAAGCAGTTAGTTCAGGAGTTAACAGGTAAGAGCGGTTCAGTTCCTGGGAGAGAGCACACGAGGTTAGCAGAGAAAGGCCATGATGTCAAAATATTCAGAGAAAATGAACCAGTGAAAGGAGAAAAACAGTGAGCCGAGCGTTGTTTTTTCCCCCTTCAAATTTAAGATTGTTTCTTAACAAAACACAATAAATAAACCCCATTGAAGTTGTTTTTTTAAAGTTACAAACATGTATAAGATGTTTGGCCAAGACTCAGTAAATAGCAAGGAATTGGAAAAGTGTGTGGTGAACCAGGGACTAAAGATCTGTTGAGCGCTTGGGACAGCTGATGTTGCATTGTGATGCTAGCTCGCACCATCTTGTGGTTGACTTCTGTGGTTGCATTTTTTTCTTGTTGCAGAGCTGAGCTTCCTTTAAGACAGCACACTCCCACAGCAAGGAGGGTCAGACTGTGATGGAGTTGGAAGTGACACTCTGTCCCCCAGTCTAAGTCCACTCCTCTCCCAGGTCAGGGTGCCAGAGTG